CGCATGACCAGACCATAAATGCCGTACCCATTTATCGCAAATCACCGACTTACAATCAGTGTATTTGCTGGTTGCGACAAAGCAACGTGGGGGTTAACATCTTGCTGAAGGGAATTCAGGGTTAAGAGACAATTTGCCCCTTGAACAGATTCGAACCAGGTACCTCTGGTATTCGAATCGAATCTTCTTGCTATTAAGCAAACAGAATTTCTTTAAATTTTAAATTTCTGTCAGCATTCAGAAATCACAAACTCGAGCTGATCATTAAACTACCACGAGCATTAGAGTGCATTCTATCATGAGTTTCGGTCGATTAGTAAAGAAGGATATAAGCACAATTTAATATTTTAAAAAATAAAAATTCTGCGGAAATAAATCGAAACTTTATATAAACCTTTATACAAACACCTCGATCTTTATACAAACAACTTTATATAACCTTTATACAAACACCTTTATACAAACACCTCGATCCTCCGAACGTTTCAATTCAAACGATAAATACAATATAACGCCTAACCTGAAAATCAAAAAAGCATTTGAAGTAGTTTCGTTGTAGGCCATTTTCTCGTATAGTCGTTGTGCTCTTGATTTTTACTAAATTTACTTTACTTGCAATGCTTGGTTTCATTGTAGCCTTTTGCTGTTAGTCTTATTTTTTAAAAATTTTGTTTTTTGTAGAAATGTTGGTTCCATAACCAGTGTTTATTTTCGAAGATTGAGAATTTCTTTCGTGTTTCAGTGGTCATATCGAAAACAGCATTAACCACGTTTATTGTGCAGAGTGCAAAACAGTTGGGTAATATAGAATAAAATCGAAACATAGACCGATTTGGTGAATCCGATGATTGACGATTGTCGACATTTCGGCCCGTATCTCACGGATCTTGTTAGAGTTAGTTGAGTTCCGTAAGTCTTACGTGTTGTCAACAACAGTTCATATGTTTGTATGGAGACAGCGAAATTTTGGTGCGTGCTGTTAGTTAAGTAGAACAAGGAAGGAAAGTCGCTGAAATGTCGGTCTTATGATGGGACCATTCTGAAACCATTTTTCATTATGTTAATGATGGCGGCGCTAATCCATTTCCGTACCATCATTTAGGAGTTATGTTAAAGGCAGAATCGATAGTTGCTATATGGCGAACATAACCTGTAAGTTTTTGTTTCCTTCTCATAGAGTTATGCTTTTTTGACAGTCTCAGAAGGAAGAAAAGCGAGTGACCCCCTACCGAAGCTCGAGCCCAAGACTGCTCGTTTCTGAGTCCTATGCTCTGCCGACTGAACAGTGCCTTTCAAGGTTGAAAAATCGCCGTTCACTAGCGGTCAGAATGATTCCTTGATAGACTTCCATGCTCTCTATTGAGAACTTGCAAAACTTCTTCAGTGTAAGGTAGATTTGGATGTACTTCAGTCGAGTACAGTGGAACGAAAATCGGGTAAGATTCGCACCTTTTTTGTGTAAACGGTTACTGACATTTCGACTGATGCCTCTTACGCCGCCTTTGGTGTCTAAAAACGAATAGTCGAAGTTAGCGAATAACTCGAATTTCAATTTAGGGCTCAGCTTTCAAGATCTTTGCAAGGTCTGCAGCTTTTCTGGACTTACACATACGCATCTTTAAGCGTTATGTTTTCGCTCCTGTATGGACTCTGGAAATACCTGTTTCAAAAGGAAGAATTTTTTGTGCTGATCCTTGGCTTAGATGATGCTGGTAAAACGGTGAGTTTAAAAAGATTTTAGTTAATGTGTATAATTCGTAATATGTTGAAAGATACAGGTGGAATCTTTTTCACAACAATGTATCACACAGTGGCAGCTGGGTAATATCGCAGAATAACTATATGCAAAGTCTCCGACATGGCGAATCGTATTTTATATTAGTAATCGTCAGAGATTTATGTCATTTTTCAACAAAGAAAATCAGAGAGGACATGAAATTAATGTATATATCACAAAATAGAATTTAATTTGTACGCTTAGAGCTGATAAAAATGAATCAGGTAACAAAGAACCGCTGTGAAGAACAATAAATCAAAGTTAATAGAGACGAAATGGAAGGAGATTATCTTCCATTTAGGAAATTTGCAAATTTTAATATTGACTTTAGTATCAGACATACTTCATTGAACTACTTTGAGGCTCGATGCAGTTTCTTTATTGGCAAAAGCATGGCCATGCCTTGGTCTAATTGTTAAAATTCTCGACAAGCATTGCCAAAGTCCGTCTAGTAGTGGATAATTTTTATTTTCCCATCCTATATGTTCTTGCTTTTACAAGTTCAATGAAAGGCTGCTAAATCAACGGAATGCCTTAGATCATTGTATTAAAGGCTAAATATTCTAAAGATTTGTCAGTAATCGCTTTGAAGCCGCTTTTTGAGTCAGTATAAAGCCATGTCTCAGGATGACAGCAAATAATCTCTGAGTTGTGAAAACTTTTCTGTTGCATTTGTATGCATGGTCTCATTTTACTCTCCAAAGAGTGAATTATTATATATACTCCGACATATCGCAGGCTTATCTATAATAAGCTTATTCTGCGCTATCATCCCGTAGCAGCAGTGTGAACATTATTGAGGATTATTACACGAAATATTAATATTGTGATTACATCTTGTGCTATCAACTGAGTGGACACGAAGATGCGACACAGACAGCCTGTCCATTCATATGTCTCGTTCTGTTATGCTCACACCAGAATACCATGCTTTCCCTGTTTCTCATCTGAGCCACTTTTCACCAGTTCTTCGGGTGATTGCTCCAGAGCAAGGAAGGATATTCGTTGCTCAACGAGTTAGGTGGTTGTTAATGGTTAAGACAAAGTTTGTTCTTTCTACGGACGCGAACTCGGTGCCTCCGGCGTTCGAAGCCAACGTCCTTACCGTTGTGCTGCCACGTCTCTGGCAACAAATATTTAAATTAATTTATGTGACTAAATTCTCGCTATGCTATAAATCATCAATTCTTTTTCTGCTACAGCTTATGCTCATTGCTGCAATTGCTTGAGAATGCATGCCGCGTCTTTGAGGTTTGACGAGCCAAATTCTGCGTTAAAACCATCCAGCATACAAATATTACAAGTGCATGATTATCACGCGTTTTTTGAGGTTATCTTTGATGAAACAGCAAACTTTTATTGGAACTGTGTGAGACTTAGGACTAATTGGCGCTTTAACGATAGAATTTACCTGCCTTGTTCCATTGCGGCGAAGAAGGTACCAGAAAAGAAAATGTCTGAAAATGTGTCCCAACTTGATGTCCTCACTATGACACTGAGTGATTAATAAAATCCGTTGAATTGAACGACATAACTATGTTAAACTATTTCAGCCTCTCGTGCGATGCTTTTGGTAACCTGTCAGATATTTGGGTTGACAGCGGAAAAGTTCTTTCCACAGAAACTCTCCTGTGCCTTTCTTCTGTCAGATCACTGTCCTTGTACGCCGTGGAAACAATTGTTCCAACAAATTAATAAGTACTTCAACGTTGGCTTCGACGCACAGTGAGGGTTAAATAGCAAGATCACGTAGGGAATGACTATTTTCTTTCAGGGAGAGGTGACCTATGATGATGTGGAGATTTAAAATTTGAGGTTGGTCCTGTTAGACAAACTGGTTGAGCATAAATCATTTACTGCAGCCCATTGGATTCTCGTATAGGAGCCGAACCGCGGCAGGCTTCGACTGGGAGGCCAGCATTCAACCGGGAAAAACGGGGAGATGCAGATCGTCTTTCGAGCAGGAATGTTTTCTTCCACGGTGCAATGATCAGTGCCAAAGTATTGTAAGATTGCCAACACAACGCATATCAAAAATCAGAATGACAGGAGACTTTCTACTTATGCAAACGGCTTAAGGTTTGCTCATGATCACGTACGTATCGTTAGCTGGAATTTTGCCCAATGTATTTACTTTAATAATTTTTAAACTGAATTATAAATCTTTTGTTAGTTAGCGTCTGTTGTTTTTCATGTATAGTGGAACTTCTTTCGACCTCGTTCTCTCTTTAAAGACAGAATGCCGAAATTAATCAACTGTAATGTCTTGTTCAGGATCACCCTTAAGTTCCACCAACGATTAAACAGATTTCTCTTGAATATCCTTTTAAAATGACAGCTCCTCGAAATGACCTTTTTTCTGGTAACATCAATGTTCCTTTAAAGAAGATTTAATGGAGTTGAAACATTTGTTTCCGGTAATTTTTACGCTTATTTTTGTTTTAGACCTTCCTTGAACATACCAAAACAAAGTTCAACCGACATTATAAAATGATGAATCCCGCTAAAATAACAAGTACTGTTGGCCTAAACAGTAAGGACATATTCTACATACTGTGTTTATTGCAGTATTTCAGTTGGAAAGGTGGTCACCCAAGGCGTGCAGCTGAATTTTTGGGATTTGGGTGGTCAAGAAGAACTGCAGTCCTTATGGGATAAGGTAAAAGTCAGCGTGATATATGACTTTCAAAATGTAGGCGTTATTTTCTGTTCATATCAGATTTATTGGATTCCAAACCAGCATATATACGTGTGTGTCATCTCGTATATGTTCCTGTCATCCTCTGTTCACATGCATGGCGACGACTACGTCATGCTACAGTTTCTCCTTGTTATTTGTTGTGGGTTCTTTCTTTTCACAGGGAACGCGACGTAATATACCGATTTTGACTAATTTCTCTTGAAATAAATGAGAACGGTGGCTTTCACTTTTCCATCTGATTTTGCGGTCAGAGTGTTCTTGTTTCAACAGATCTGATTTGAAGTCATGAGGTCTATCAGTCTTTGACTATCGTCAGCTGACCTTTTCTGGATTCGTGAGAAATTGTCGTTGTTTAAAAGAATAAAGTTTATGGTCTTTCGCCTTCGCAGTGAGTCCTTCACAATGTAAGGTGTGCCCTGGAACAATTTCTTTCTGCAGGATGCCTTTAATTCGGTGTTAGAAATGGTAGTGGTTGTTTTCATCGCCGTCTAATGCAGGGCTTCGATGGCAGAGTATTCCAGATTCGTATTGTGTCAGACTACATTCTCTACTACTGAAAAGGCCATATTCTCCGTCCCCATCCGATGTACTTCTGAGATCTTTTAATATTTGTTATTTTTATAGTTGATCGGGAAGTATTATTACTTTATGCATTAGGCAGGAAACGAGGAGGGAGTATTCATCATCAGTGTGTGAATGGTCTTCGAGTAAATGAACGTAGCGTTCAAGAATGGCCAAGTTAAAATTTAAATTACTTTTGTGAATTTATTTTGATATTCCATGCAACATTATTAATGAATTTGGCTTGCTTCTGTGTTTGTTAATTTATTAAGAATTTGTTTTTTTTAGTATTACGCTGAAGCGCAAGGAGTGATTTTTGTTATTGATGCGTCTGACCATGAAAGACTTCAAGTAGCATGGAAGGCTTTTGGTAAGATGATGTTCTCTCTTGGTTACTAGATATTTTCTTCTTCGTTACTGTGCTATCGCCTGTGATCTGTAGCAGGTAATTATTAATGAGAGGAAAAAACAGATTAAGAAAATGCGTTTAGTTTTTCTCAATATTGAGCCTCCGCTTATCACAGGAAAATTTTCAAATTTTAGGATCACTCAGGTCCATTTGGTTCAGCAAAGGCAGTTGCTACCATTCACACTGAGGTCGATTCCATTGATCCTTTTGGAAGGAAGCTAGTGGGTGAGGTGTGTTCTTTTTGCACACAGTGTGTCTTCATCGCACATTACGAATAGCAACACTGCAGATTACTGAAGCAGTCTGAAAACTCGAGGTGACGTGAAAACCTTTCTGCTTTTATTGCTTTAAAACCAGGCTATTTACAGTTAACTTTCTCTCCCCTTCTTTCTGAATTAGAGGGATCTCAAGGATATGGTAGTACAATGCCAAGTGGTCAGCTTCTAACTCCGGAGGTGTTGGGTTCGAAATCTGATAAGGCGAGGCAATTTCTTTCTTTCTCCAATTCCCTTGAGCAGGGTGCGACCGTCCGAAAATATAGTAACAGGTCGTTGACTTGTAAACTTCAGATACAGCGGTGTTTTGATGTGGTCACTGTAGAATGGACGAGAGGTGCGGCCGAGTTGTGTATTGTGAGCACCTCATATTGCTACAGTTTCCTTGACCTATTTGACAGCTATCTGTTCAATGTGATACCGATGATACAGTTCCCTACCGACTGGAATAGTCTTTAATTGTTTGGAGTTGGAGTTTGCCGATGCTCAAAAGTTGTTTTCATGAACATCATATCGCCGAATGACTGGAGTCGACTAGCAACTTTTTCTCTGGATTGTTGATTGATCGTTTTTGTCGCTATTCGATCAGTCATTTCTTCAACGCCAGTTCTACTCTTTTTCGAATGTTAGTTCAAAAAAACTTGTTTTACGAGAGTAGACAGTCCTCACCCTTACAGTTGATTTCTGATACACGTCGCTGTCATATGTCGAGACATTTTCCTTAGGAATTATTTTATGGATTCAGTTATGTTCCTGATATATCGTTAAAACATTAGATTGGTACAAAAACTTCTTCATACAGGGCTTTTTATGAAATTCATAAGTTTTTCGTATGCCCCAGTGTGTCAAATAGCAATTGACTTCTTCAGTATCAGATTTCACTTCGCATTGCACCGCTTCCTTTCTCCGAGATGCCTATGGGATTCACTGAAGTAGACCACTGCTCCACGCTGTTCCAGTAACTGTAGTATCTTGAAATCTCGTTTTGGACGATTCATGCATTATTTGGCATAGTGCAAACAATTTTTTGGTACATATATGTTCAGACAGTGCCGAAAACATGTAGATCATCTCGGCGAAGTCAGAAGCAATTCAGAAAGTGTGAATGACGCAGCCAGTTCCAAATACAGGCTGAGAACTAACGCCAACGAATGCAAAGTCCTTGGTTCAGGGTATGCCTCATATTATGTCAACATCATGAACATTTACAAGGGGAAGATGTGCAGTGTCAAGTTGCTTTTCTGATTGATGTGAACCAACAGGCAAACGATTACGAAGGCGCGAAATGCCTACCTGAGGCAATAAAATCTAAAAAAACCATTGCCAATGTGAGAATGAAATTGCGCGTATATCTGATCGCTAATCCGCCCGTCCTAATTTGTACTTCAGCCATAAGGTCCTAAACCTAAACATAACCACAAAGGAACATACCACAGATGTTTAGATGTTTCTGAACGATCCTGTTGGCAAAGAATACTGAGTTACAGAATAAATGAACATATTGAACTAGATCAGAACACGCTGAATTACCCAATGATGCCAATAAAAATGCCCAAAGATTATATCGATGAGGGATCAACTTCAGTTTTCACCCTGACGAAGGCACGAAACGAAAACTTTCTCTCTTGGCCACACACTACTAACTGATACAATCAAGTATGTTACATTGAACCAGGAACAAAGCTTACCTAACAAGTAGCGTAAGCACTCCAGTATTTCTTATTTAATTTATTTTGTACCTTTTTTTGTCTTGAGATTTTATCTTCAGACAAAATGCTTAGCAGTCCGGCGATTAAAGGCGTTCCTGTTCTGGTTGTCTGTAACAAGCAAGATATGGAGGTACACCTTTCAAACTGGTAGGGTCGTCTTGGTTGCTATTAGCCGCTTTAAATTTTCTAGGGTTGTCTTACCGTATCGGAAATCAAATCGGTGTTCAGTGCCAGCACAAAGCACATTGGCAGTCGCGATTTCACTTTTTTCGCCGTCTCTGCGTTGAAAGGGTCGGCCAAACTACAAACGGATGATGCTTATTTGTTACTTGATCTGTTTTTAGGACGAACGTATGCGAAAGTATTAACTGGATGATTAACTGCCTGAAACGTAGCTGTTCACGAAAATTCGAGCAGTTCGAGCATCTCAACTAAAAACTGTTTTTAATGTATATTCGTTTTAGACCTTTCTAAATTTATGCCACCTTTCAAGTCAATAAATTTGTCTAATTTTAGCAAATTAAAGCTATATGCTTTTCGTTGCGTTATATTTAGACGAAACTCATGAGAATTGTAGAATGAATTGGTGTAAATTCTGCGTGCGATTATCAACACTTTTTTTCTTCATGGCATGAGACACTTTCCGGAACTGGAGTGTTAACTTTGGTTGTTTCGTTAGGTGAAAGACAATTGATTCAATATCGTTGCATTACGTAACATCGACATATTGGGCGATGTTTCTGAGCTGGGTTTACGAGTCACACTGCCAGTGCTTGGTAGAATAAAAATATTGGTATAATAAAATGATTACTAAACCAAGACGCTATAAAAAGATTTCGCATTATGATAAACAGGTACAAATGACATAGTTGTTAATGCTGTTAAGTGGCGTATAGCAAGACTTCGCAATGGTTACTGACTATCGATGTTCAAATTATGCAATTTATAGCACTGCTTTACTGAAAACTAAAATCGCAAGCTAAAGCTTGATGTGCAATTTTATTTGTTCCATGCTGGTAATTTCAGGATTATTGCCTGATATATACGTAATGATCAGACCGAAGAATAAACTTTACACCGTTAACGTTTTTTACATAAATAAATGAAGGAAACTGCAGATAGCACCGATGATTTGCTCAACGTGTTATTCATCCGTATGTGCAACTGAAACTTCATCGTACCATAAGAGTTTCAGTTTAATGATGCTACGTATTGTCCCGTTGTATGTTAGGCTTGTTTACAAACTGCGAAGGGCGTCTCAGCTTCAACTTAAAGACTGATAGTATACCAGAGCAGGTAATTATGAACAACCTCCTCCTAGCTTCATCGGACTCATAATAGTCACTTATCAAATGTAATGATCAAAAGGCGAAACAATCCTCTCACCGGAACAAAATTTTCCATTACCTTAACCGATATTGCTCTGAATGACGATGTAGGAATCGACACATCGGGCGAGAATGTCCTGTACTACGTATTTAACGTGCGGTTGCAAATTTTATCTTGATAGGTGTATCGAAAACCTGCTTTAGACTCTGGTTGTTTTCTGCTAAAGCCCCAACATCAACACAGAATCGGGAACATTGGAGAACCTGTCTGACGCGACTGTCTACGTTACCTGAAAAAAGAAGCAATGATGTCAAACTGAAAGTAAACTAATTCTAGCTGATGGCATTAAAACGTAC